ATCTGATGGTAATTTGCCCGAAGCAACACGTGCACGGCGAATGGCTTTCCCGTAACCTCGTGACAACGCATTGAAAGCTGTTTTCCATCAAGAGTAATTTTAATCCCCCATGTCCAAGGTTTGTAAGATGATTGACGAGTAACTGGCTACTGTAACGAAATAATTAAACTTTATTTGACTCGCGTGGTTGCTTCGACTGATAAACTGCAAAATTTTTATGGTTTTTGCCATTCGGGACTGCAGTCAGAGATATGACTTTTTGCGAACACTGTCACGGCAAAATGCCGAACGGTGTTTTTACAGCAGACTTTGTTGCAGCATTGCTTTAAAAATATAGGTTATAATTTATAAAATGCACTGTATAATATTTTATCGTGTTTCTAATGGCCGAAAACAGATGTCTTGTTGATGTGTCAGTCTGTTGTTATTGGTATTTTACTTCACTTGACATTCAAGGATAAGATATAGTGTCTTATTTACGACGACCGAGAGCTTATCAGACAGTGAATTAAATGATAATGTAAATAAACCATTTATATTGTTGATCAATTCATATTCAGTATGAAATGCGAAATGATAACGCAATTAATCAAAAGATGTTTCATAAACGGCCGCTGTAGGATGCATGATTTTGTTCATGCAATAGTAAATAAATACGTCAAAATCATATCTTTTTCTCCACAGGCGATAGCTCGTTTTACACCTACGGAAATATACCGTCAAATATGTCCTTAATATACCATTCGATATTCTGAGACTGTTTTTCATATTTCTTCGTAAACTTTCAAAAGCTAAGCTGTTATCACCTTATAAATACCACATTGCATGAACGATTGATTACTTTTGATTGACATGAACTTAGAAATAATTGCGATAACATCTAACACCGCCGCTCTCGCCAAGTTCGAGAAAGAAAAATGCGTACTTTTTGTAAAAGAACTTCAATTATCTCTTTCTTTGTATATTTGCGATTGAAACTGTCGTCCTTGTTGTGGCTTTTCTATCACCGGTGTTTTACGCCAACTGTTGTTACCAAGGTGCGAAATTTCAACTCGTAAACAAAACAGTCGAAAGGCGTTTTTGCCTTTTTGATGTGCATGCTGAAACAAAAATCTCGCGTTGTCTTCCAGCTTAAGCAAACATATTGCAAAGTTTATCTTGTTGCTAAGATTCCCTTTTCCTGAATTCCAATATACTCCAGCCAACGTGGGCAGCACTTAGACTGTAGTAGGAAGCACTTGTTCGGCAAAATGAAGCATACTCCGAAAGGAATTTATTATTATAACATTAGCACTCGGCTAATGTCTATGATACATAGTGTGTAAAACTCTAAGAACTAAACCTCGACAGCCGAGAACGTTTGCGCTGCTTCAGGACAAAATCCTTCAACAGAACAAATAGTCTGAGGAGACAAAGCTTTTTAGTCTTGTCGTTTTTTTCTACTATTTTTGACTTGACGTATAGATTTAACTCCCTAAAAGAGGGTGTCTTAAAATAGGAAGCACTTTTAAGACACAAACGATTATTTAAAAAAGTTGTCGATAGTTTCTATCCGGTTTAAAATTGCGTTATTTTAAGTTGCTCTAAACTCAATGATTATAAGGTTTCATGAAGCTTAATGTACCCTCAAATTGCAACTGAAACTCCCTAGAACATAGTGCTTTGCTACCTTCGCTTGATTCATGAATCCACTTCAAATCAAGCTGTTCGTGTTGAATTGCTTTAAGAATTTGAACTTGATTCAACATATTTCTTATGCAAATAACGTAAAAAAAATATGTATTCATACCGCAAATATATTGACATAGTTTTGATGTTTATAAGATCAAGTAGACACACCTATACTATGAAAATCTCACGCAATGTTTAAAGAAATAATGAATTTAATTGCGTCGTTATAATTTAGTACGATCTCCCGCGTTAGTTCCTTATTTCAATTTGACTTTGTTTTGTTAGATATGGTTATGATTTTCTTTTACAAAGAAAAAGCAGAAACATCGTCATATTGTTCTTTATTTATGAATACAAGTCGAAATTGCCCGAACTATTGCCCACACAAATATGAAGGCTGTCTTAAGACGATAGCGTGACAACTTATGGACAAACAGATCAATATAAATTCAATAACAAATATTTCGATTAAACACACACATCGGCAAAACAACAAAACAACTCTTTCATCGCGCTCAGATATTCAAAAAATGCCTTTTTGTAACGGAGCCTAGAATCTTAAAAGCTCTTCACATGAAAGCAAGCAGAGAATTGACGCCATTTTGTTGTTCGAAGCTTGGGAATTTCTACGACAGATGGCACGTCCGGTTTTATGATTTGCGCCTATCTGCCTGTCTCGTTTACTTTTCAAAGACGGCTTTAATACTTACAACGATAAATTTGTAACAGAATATTTGTATATTTCTGTAACTATATTGCGTCATTTTTATTTTGAAGTGCTCGAAATTGCGTTGCATATTAAGGTTGTCATTCGTAAAGTGTAATTATAAGAAATTTCCAAACCTGTAAGCTAGCCTCTAGAGTATTTCTCATACCTATTTAAAGTATTTAAAATACTTGCGAAGTGGCAACATTTCATACTTGATGGATTTAAAACATGGAAATGCCAATATTAGCACCTATCGATAAACTCTTGTATAGTGTTGAAGCCATGTGAGTATAAGCAGACACTTGATACACGGCAACCAGCTATAGAAACCGCAAAACTATCTTACATTAGATAGAAGTTTAGATTATAAAATTAAAAACATCATATGAGGAGGCGCATCGAATCGAAATACAATGCACTTTGTCAAATTGTCGACCTTTTTGAAATAAAAATCGACAGGGCTTATTCGCTCAAAAATCCTTGCCCAAAGCTGGATTTGTGTGTTTTTGTTTTTCGCGAGCTCCAAACGGATTAATACCGTCTGGTCTATGTATATTTAGTTTGCCCTTGAAAAATCCACACGTCTTCTCCCGTCAGCATGAGCATGACATGAAAATTTTCAAACGCATATGAGATAATCGTGTTAATTAACAAGATATTTTAATTTTGAAAGTATATTATTTAAGTGTAACTGTGTTTAGCCTCGCCTGTTGCAAGATGGTAGTAAGATTGTATTTGACGAAGAAAAATTCGTGTGCTTATCCAGCCTCAAAGGCACCAAAATGCTGTATGTTTTGCAAGCTTTTTTTAACTCATACTAATCCAATTACCTACGGTATTATACGAAGATTATAGAGATGAAAACGGCGAAAAACTCGGGAAAAAAACTGTGGGAAAACATCGTATGATAGAATATTTTTCGTCAAGGATGGAATTTATGAAACTCTGTAAAATTTTCTAAGGGAGGCATTTTTTGAATACCTGAGAATTAAAGGCGTTTACCGTATGCCTGTGTTTAGCTTTTTGTTGTTTAATCACAATCTCAGTCCTTTGAAGAAAAAAATGCACACACACCTCCACTGCTTTGATAAACCTTTTACAAACATCTTTAATCACTTCTGGGTTTTTTTTCCTTGTCGAAATACGGTCTGGTTTTTCGGTATTTGAGATGAAATTCAAACAAAAACTCGCGTAAACATATTCTACAAACACTTTAATGAAACCCGGAATAGTTGTGGAAATATAGAAAAGTTATGCAATCCGTCAATAAGATTTCTTTGCATCATTTGATAAGTACCCGTAGATATGTGGTATTCTGTGATTATTGACTATAAACTACTTATATTTATTTCATCGAGAATCAACCGATACATGCCTGTTAGAGGGAAAACAGTTATTAAACAGATTTACCGAAGATTATACGAAACATCCACAGAATAGTGAAAAAAACTAACGATCCAATTATGATACACAATGTTAGCTAATCTGAATGGAATAATCGCGAAATTTCTGGCATGTGCGTAATTGCTCTTTATAAATCTTATGACTACTCGCGAAAGAATACTTTTGAAACTCTAGAATTCATAATCTTGGTAGCAATGTTGCCCTTCGATAGCACTGCAGTGCTGTCATCAATGATGTATGTACAAACAAGATATTAAACTATCATTTAAAATCTACGAAAAATCCAAGCTTTTATCGTTGTACACAATTATCTTCGGATGTAGTGAACATTTAAATTGACCTTTTAAACAGTATTTACAGTCAAATTTCATTTTAAATTCATAGACCGTCAATTCCCCCGAAATAGTCCTGTCAATGTTTGAATTTATTTTCTATTTGCTATGCTCGATTTAAACCGGTTAAATTGCTTCTTGAATGCGACAGTTAACGACCGGGAAGAACAACAAAGCCGTAGCCGACAGCCGTCTCGAAACATATGCATTTTACAAAACATGCAATGTCATCAAAAAACCTGTAATTCTTTCTGTGGTTTCTTTTACAACAACTACATCCTAACTCATCTTCCGATAGATTTAACTCGAAAGGTGTCAAAAATATGAGGAAATTACGGCCGTCATAGTGACGCTTAAAATTTATAATTCTCATGCGAGAATGTATACTCGACATGGTGTGTTTTTACGGCGACTTCCGCGGAACAATATTCGGCGTCGAGGAGCTCTATGATCGTTCCTATGAACCTTGTGATGGCAATTATTATCCAACTGAGTTTCAACACAAAAACACGCCCCCTTTATTGTAAACGCCTTCCAACATTTTGCCAAAACCTATCGAATAGTATGTTGCATTCTTTATACTCCGTTCCCCCGCCTCTCAACGAGTTTGAGGAACTATTACATCTTCATTTGATTGGTCGGCCTTTTTAATATGGCTACAGTTGTATTAATGCCAAAGTAAGCTAGTTGGAAACGGTCGGACAAGAAAGTGAAGGTCTGTTTGCAATTTGACCCTAAACATGTCGATATAAATAAAATAATCCTTTTTTACGACGTGAGTCTATGCGGTGCCTAATAACGACGTCATTACGATATGAGCTTCAATTTGAGAACCGACCAATCAGAGGGCGGCTATTGCCCCGCATCCGTGCCAAGTGTTTTGTATTAAAATCAAAGAGCAGGAACGCAACATAAACACAAGATCTAGTCTATCATTGGGGCAAGAGCGATACGAAAAAACACTCGCTTGCCTTGAAGTAAGATTTCGAAGGAAGAATGTCAAAAGCTTTTGAGCTTATGTCGCTGGCTATGTATTCCGATTCATTTCAGAATCATAACTGCAATTCGTTAGTGTCATCGCCGTCTAGTAAAAATATACATTTGAAGGAGATAAACGAGACGAAACCGTGGTGTGATCGGCTAGTTTCATCCAGAATGATGACATCGTCGTCAGAAGCGAAAGCCAAAAGTGGTAATCTGATGAATTTGCAAACGTCCAGCAGTAATTGGTCGCAAGACCAGGGAAATTCAAATGCACAGTTCTCTGGGAACATATCTCGAGCTTACGCGAATAATGGTGAAACACTACAACCTGACCAGGATGAGAAAGGCGAACACATTCGTCGACCTATGAATAGTTTCATGATCTGGAGTCAATACGAAAGAAGGCGGCTGGCCGAGGAAAACCCTGACCTCCACAATGCTGAACTTAGTAAGATCCTTGGTCAGAATTGGCGTGCACTTACTGTCGATCAAAAGCGGCCGTTCGTGCTCGAAGCCGAGCGACTTCGTGTGAAACACAGCCAAGATTACCCCAGCTATAAATACAGACCAAAACGACGAAAGAACCCTAAACGAGTCACGAAGTCAATGGTCAAGGCGAAATCACCCACCAAAAGCACGCCAAATGTTGCAATTTCGAAGCCCATGTTACAAAATCTGCACGGGCTATCAAGCAATGTGCAGCAAAGCGAACTCGCCACATTAAATACGACCTTAACACCGTCACAGAAATCCTGCACTCCCTCGACAAATGCGTCGCAATTTCTGCCTTTAACGCCAGAAGCAAGCCCGAACATTCAAAAGGAGAACGTTGTGTTTAAATTTGACGAACCTAAAACCGAGCGACCGATTTCATATACATTTCCCGCTACGCCACCATCTTGTAGCACTATATGCGAGGACGATCCGTACACTCTAGCTTCGCTTGATCTTTTAAACCCGATCGACTTCAACTTGCAAAATTACATTTTTGGCGACGAAACGTTAGATCGCACCGAGTTCGACCAGTATTTGAACTGCTTCGAATAATCTGGGGGTTGCGTCGTGCAGAGAGTTTCGATAAATACCCTGAAGGGTTTTCGACTTTAATTGAATAAAGTCAAATCAAAATACTGGCTTTGGAGTCGGATTTATTGATGAAATATTCCTGGAGGTACGTTTGTACAGGAATGATGATCCCCGCTCCCAATTCGCAAACATTTCAAGTCGCGAGAAACTTCCCGAACTCATCGTTGAATATATTGTATCTGTTATCGATGTAAAATGTAAATAGAGCGTTTTTCAAATGTAAATAGCGCTGTAAATCATTCGTAATTCGCATTTATACATAGCTTGGTTATGGTAAGGATTCAATGCATGTCGGTGGAGACGTTGTCAATTTTACCGGTTAGCGTGAAGTTCTATTTGCAGAAATATTGCATTCCTGGTTAGCTTTGAGAGTGTAACCAGATTTAAACGTCTTTGCGGAGCAAGCGACTTCTAATATTGCATTAAAATCTGTTTAAACCGTGCGTCATTTCATGAAGACCGTTTGAATCGCTTCCAGCCAAGAATATCGGCTTAGTCTTTCATGTAATCGTGCAGCAATTACATTGTAAATATATATTTTATATAATTCGCATGTGTTAATAGTTTTAAAATCTGGGTTTTTGATATGGATACTCGTAATGTTTTTTATACAAATAGAATAAAGTTAATTTAAAGTCATTTTAAATCGTTTTTTGATTATTAATCTTCCCAAATATATATATATATACATAATGTTTTGCTACGTGTGGCGATTCGATTAAAGATTACGACAACGCTTATATCTGTCGTGACCCTCCGGCTTTTCAACAGATTTCCCTTCACTTGAGCCCGTTACTTGTGGAAATTTGAGAGAAATTTGAAAGGCGACCGGGGTAATCGCGTATTTCTTTACTTAGACGAAATTCATCGTTGAAAAAAAACATTGTGTGCTGCTGTTTCTTTGATGATGTTCATCTAGAATCGTGTGATAATTGCATGCGTACCGCTGTGATAACATTCAACTGCCTACGTAATTTTTCAAAAGGAACTGCATCACCTCTTCCGCTTCGTATTTCTGGAGACGCGACTACAAACCATCACGAACTCACATTCATCTTTTTCCGTTTTCCTAGCTGGTCGAGGAAGTCACTTTACGTTGAAGGGCGTTCGTTCTTCTTCAAAAAAATAACACGTCTTCCTCCTCTCCCCTGCCGTCAAAGCCCCCCGACCATGCCTGCAATCTTTGCGTATTTGTTTTACATTATCTGTTCATTAATTGCATGGAATCACGCTAAAACGCTATTGGTTGATTAAACAATTGATTATTGTTATATTGAATAGGATTGTTTCATAAAACACGTCATACTCATTATCTCGTTGACAAACGCTCTGTGCTCGCCGTCATTTTGTTATGTGAACACGCTCGTAAATCCGCGTGTTTTTGCGTTTGCTAAATTCTCGCGGTTTCCTGTAAATCAATCTTGTTTATTCTATGCAGTGTTAATGAATAAATACGAAACGTGTCATAATTTCTTGACGTAAATCGAAGCAAATATTTGACGTTACATAATTGCCTGGTTAAAACTTAGAATGCAAGGTCGAACAACGGGAGATTGGAAAACCTCTATAGTCTAAATCATTTATTGATTTGAATTTCTGTTCATATCAAAACATTAAATTCTTTAAAAGCTGTATGGCGTCATAGATAGCACGATAGACCTACTGTCTGAACAGTTGAGAAGCGTAGAACAGACTTTTTTGTTCAAATATTAGCAAGTATTTAGACACCTTCAGACAAAACTTGGCTGCGTTGGTCGTTTATGTGTCATAGAAGTTACTGTACAAAAGGCGACAGTGTCTTTTTCCTTAATCTGTTCTTCGTTAAATATGATTCCATGTAATTTGGATTTCTTGCAGTGCTTATATCGCAAAAGCAAACTGATCAGCTACCGGACTAATCATGTTTACAAAACTTCCACTCAATAATCGTCGTTTTGATTGGTTAATATGAGTCAGTTTCATTGTATTTGCAGGGAAAGGGAGGGAATTTGCTATTCGTCTTTAATGAATAAATTTTTAACGGAACTGCAGTAGATTTGCGAATAAGCGAAATATGGACGCTTCAATCAACGATTTGAGGATTTCTGGCGAGCACTTCTTGTTGCTCAACGCGAACCCATCTGTTTTCAATCAGCTTCAATATGCTGTTGAGCTTGTCAGCATTGCATGCATCTCGCAGAGATCGTGTTATGAACAAAGGTCGAACGTTGATGTCCCAATTTCCGATCCGTCAATTGCATCCATTTCCTATGTTTGACCTTCATAGATAAACATGGCGTTTTAAATGCAGTCGTATTCATCACTAAGGCGAGCAATGTCGTCGACTCAAGCAAAAATATTATTTCATAATTTATTTGTTGCCGTCTTGTTTTGTAAAATATTGGTAATTTCTGTTTCCTTAGATATTCATATTCTATGTTTTCTAAGATATTCACATTCTATGTTTTCTAAGATATTCATGCTCTTTGTTTCCTAAGGTATTCGTGTTCTCTGTTTCCTAAGGTATTCATTTTCTCTGTTTCCTAAGGTATTCGTGTTCTTTGTTTCCTAATATGTTCATATATCTTTCTCTGTTCCTTGAGGTATTCGTTTCTCTGTCCTCCTATTCATAAAACGTTTATCAATTATGTACGCTGTTTTGATAAAAATTTTAAGCATTTACTCAGCAACTTTCCACTTTCCGTATTATATTTAACATGTTTTAATTCCAACAGCGTCATAATGAGTATCAATTGTCGTTGGTCGTGGAAAGAGATTGACTAATCATGCAAAGATAAAAGTCGGGATAAATTATTTTGAAAAAAAGAGCTTTGTTTCACCTAAATAGTCACGTGCAAAAATCATGCTCTGCCACAAATACTCCTGTCTATTTGCAATACCATATTTGGAAGGTCTAATCAATCTTCAAAAACGGAATTGTAGACCATGTACACCACTTACCCTATACATAATCTCATGGGCATTTTGTCCAAACATTCCAAAGCCACCATTGAAATCGTAACACGAAATTTTTATGACCCAAACAACTCACTTGTAAGATGTGGTAAGGATAGATTTCATTTCTCGAACTTAACAAAAAATGTAACCAGTATATATTCTGTTACATCCTAATACGCACACATCTGTGTGTAGATTTTGCTATATACTGAGCAACATGCGGTATTCAAGTCTTATGGCTATATAGTATATAGATGTTTTGTATATTCGAAGCAGTTTTTCAAACTTTATGAAATTTAAAGGATGAAACTTTTGATGAAATCAAACCAACTCTCAAAAGTCTCTTCTTGTCAAACTCATATTAGTTAAAGATTTTCACTGGAAATTTTGACGGCTATCTTCCCCATTCTACGACTGACAAGCGAGGGTCTCGTTCTTCTAAATTTATTGTTTGTTTGCTCTAAGCCGATCATCTGTGAGTCCATGGACTTCATGAGGGAAAAAAGTGTCCATTGATAAGCTTAATTTCAAAATTCAGACGGATTTTTGTTCGATATTGCTTTAGTCTTTAAAGGAACAAACAGATGTAGGTTGGTCAAACAAAAATTTGTGTTGGCGTGCGTTGGCTTAATTATGAATCGAATTATAAGTATAATATATTTGTACAATGTTGCAACATGAAATAGTAAAGTTTACCAATATCAAAAATATCGCCTTACTATTCAGATAGAATGTTTTGTATAAAAATAGTCAAAAGCGCACAAAAAGTTGACCAATCACTGTTTCAATCGTATTGGGACCATTGCGCTTCTCTTGTTAGCGTTTTGTAATTTCCTATACAAATAATATTACTCTTGTATAGTGGTGGAGATTCATTAGCTTTTAGCTCTATTTAACAGCTTCATATTTGTACGGAAGTTAAAGATTATTTGATGGTGGAGCGAGGGCAACTACTTTAAAGCGCCTTACTGACGAACAAATTTTCTATGAGAAAACTCGTTAGCCTGTGTATACGGGCAACAAATTTTTTACGAAAAATTTTATGTGGCAAATTTTCTTTGATCGTCTGTACGTATCAACATATCACATTGGGTTGATTTCTCGTATAATCTTTGTAGACCTTACAGACAAACAAAATCAGTCATGTGGCAAATTTTCTATGACAAATGCATTTAATCAAAAGCTGACATGCTAGCTTTTGAACAAATGCATTTGTCGAAGAAAACTTAGCTAATAAGTCCCATAAAGACAGGCAAATAACATTTTCCACATAAAAATTTGTCGATAAAAAACTTGCTCGTCTGTAAGCGGCTTAAAGTATAGATAAATGTACTTGTTGCAAACAAATTTTGTATAGTTTTCACTGAAAGGAAAAAATTGAACGCTTGGAATACTGGTTCAAATTTCTAGCTAAAATTTCCACGCAAGATTTTTCGTTCAAGTTGTTTGCGTGGTTATTGCTACACAAATCACAGACTTGGAAGGAAATTAATATTTCTTTTATTCACAAAACTCGGCCAAGTTCTACGATGTATCAACAAACAGCTTTTGCTATTGCATTCGTATCAACATCTTCCTGTGCAAATATTGGGCTTTTGACAATTTCTTTATCCGATTAATAGAAAAATCCTACGCTTTTTGACGAGATCACGTATACCTGTTTGTCTACGCCGCCCCGTTAAGTTTAACGTCGGTGTTATTTTGTTTTATTTGTATGTCACGTTTCATTCAACGGTGAACGAATAACGATGCGGTACCTTAAATCGTTTTTTATAAGATGTATATGGGCGTATAGTAACTGTAGCTGCTAATGATGTATAAAATGGCTTTTTTTGGCTTTTTTTAATTATCTATTTTCGGTAGTGTTATACTTTGTTTGTTAAGCTCGATTTTTTATATAATTAAAACTGTCCTTTAGATCAATGACAAGGAAATTAATACCATATATACGTATTCAGTATCTGAATTATTTTTAGTCAAATATACACTTTGGTTCTTCACACGTAAAACACTTATCAGAATCACTTCACAAACCGTTCCAACATTTAATTAGCCATTATTTCCCTCTTGGTTTATATAAGGTTTTGTCTACTTTAAATATTGATCGATATAATATACAGTCATAAATATTTTTTATTTTGTCGTTCTGTTGATGGTTGTGTTTATCATATCAAGTCTTGCGATCGGCTGAAGAAGCCAACGGCTGTATACAATATTTCGATTTTAGTCCATAAGTTTTATTTTTTAGCAGGAAATTTGTAAAGGAAACTCTCAGTTGATTTTTGAAATTTTAAAGTAAAGTTTATTAGACTATATATAAAGTTTATTTAGGGAGCGAATATGGTTGGGTCTTTCAAGGATTCGTTGTAGAAAAATGTTTCAATTTCTTAGATGCTTGGTAAATTCTATGAACTCACATAATCTAATCGTGTGATCTTCTAGACCAGATTGGATCCAGCGATAGACTGATCAATGGCTAACTTCAAACTTTCCCTTGGGAAATCTCCATGGTTACATTTAAACCTATAAAACACGTTGAATTCCTGTACAAATCATGCAAAAGGTTCGACAAATGCAGCGATGACGTTTTACTGCCGTCGTACATATTGTATTCTTCACCAGCTCTTCATAAAATTTCTGTACATCTGTACCATTTGTAATTACAGTAAATCGCATCCGTTTGTTAACCACATTTTCTTATTTTGTCAA